CCCAGTGCGCCCGCCCCGCCGCTCCCCTCCCCTCCATCCTCCTGGTTACCTCGGAAGCCCTTGCCCCTGAGGGGCCCCACGCAGGCCCGGCCGCCGGCCTGCCCGCACACCTCGTTGGTCTCCTGGCCCTTGCTCAGCTCCAGCTCCAGCTCCAGGCCGGGGTGGCCAAACAACCGCTTGTCCAGACCCAGCCGCTCTGAGGAGGCCTGGCCATAGAGGGAGCCGTTGTACTGCACGAAGCCCAGCATCCCAGGGCTGTCCAGCTCCTGGCTCTCGGCGCTCTCGCTGGCGCTCTCCGGGTGAGGCTCGGGGAAGCTGTAGTAGGCGGGCGGGAGGCGGTGCACGTGGGGCTGCAACAGCGTGTACTCGAAGGTGATGGACGGGCTCCTGCCGTTCTGGCTCCACACCCGCGGGGGGCAGGCCCGTCTTCCATGCTCGCTCCAGCCTCTCCCCACCTGCCCCCGGGGTCCCCTGCTGGCTCCCACGCAGAGGTGCTAGCAGCCAAGCCCAAAGATGTGAACAGAGGCACACTGGAGGGCAGCCTGGAAGAGGCAGGGGACAGGCTACAGGCGCGGCGTTCTTTTTAAGGGATGAAGCCAACTGCACCAGCCTGCCTTTTATTTTGTCCACGTGCCAGAAAGCCTGTCACAGGCTGTACTGGCCCTGTCACCCTCCATCCAACACAGGGCCCCCAGTACGGCCCAGGCTTTGCCTCAATTCTGGACAACCCGGAGGGACTTCCGCCTCCGGAGCCCTGCGGCAGGCTGGCTGCCCGCCCCCCCCCACCTGTTCCCGCCGCCATCACCCGCCCACCCTTCCCCGCTGGTGTCTGAGTCTTCCCCAGAGCCCTGGTGTTCGCAGGATCACCGGGCAGCAGGACCGGGAGCCCACTCAGGAGGTGCATAGGCACAGACCCCAGGAGAATGGGGTGCCAGTGCAGGCGCTCAGTGGAGACACACGTGGGGCAGTGTCTGAAGTCTGAGAGTCGGCTGGGGCCAGGGTGGAGGGAGGAACGCTGAGGCCGGAGCCCAGTGCCTTGGGAAGGCTGAGGGTGACGAGTCCCCACTATGTCACCCTCCTGCACACCGAAGGCTGAGTGAGAGCCCTGGCTGGTGTCCGGAAGAGGCAGGGGTAGCAGAAAGCAGGGCTGGGGACGGCTCAGCATATGACTTCACTAGGCCCAGGACAGAGCCCAATGGGACAGTGGACTGAGCCTTGGGAGCGAGCATCCGAGCCCCTGTCTCAAAACCTGGAAACCCCAGATCCCCTGAATCTCCTGAGCCGGGAGTGTTCAGGGAAGTCCTAGGAGAAGGCACCAGGGTCCAGGGGACCAGAGGGCTCTCCTGTGACAAGGGCAATAATGCATGGGTGCTCTGGCGGGTGGCAACACCACCCCAGAGAGGGGCTCTCGAAGACACACAGACGCTGGGAGTCAGGCCAGTGCGGGACAAAGGCACAACCTCGTGTGGCAGACGATGGCCAGAGCAGCTCACCAAGGCTGCCATCTGTGGGGAGGCCTGGAGCACATTCTCGTTACCCATTCAGGAGGCACCTAGCCTTGCCTGGGCCCCACTCCGCTAAGACGGTGCAGTCACTTCTGGGGGCCCGGACCCTCCTGGCTCATAGTATGTCCCTGAGAATGAGGAGGAACGAGACGGCGATATGGCACCATCACTTCAAGGGACAGTATCGGGTGTCTCCCAGGTCAGGGCTGAGGCAGTCGGTGCTAGTACGAAACCAGACTCCCCATCAGACGTGGAGACAAGATCTTAATGACCGCGGATGCAGAAGTTAGCAGCGAGGCCAGCGTGGTAGACAGGGCCCGACCCATAGCGACCTCGGACGCAGCTAGCAGGACAAAGGGCCAGACGGGCGGCCTGTAAAATGGACTGCCCCATCCGCATCGGAAGCACCAGGTGTGGGTGGCCACGGGGCGGAGGGCAGCGACCCCAACAAACATGGCGATCCTCGGCCGGTTTCAGACCAGGACTGTGGTGAGGGGCAGAGCAGCCAGGCCCCAGCATGCGTGGCAGGGCTATACAGTGTCGGCCCTGCCAGCTCTCCCAAGGACATTTCCTGGGGCTGTTCCCTGGAGAAACGGGTGAACATTCTGGAACCAGGGACTGAGCCGTGATTGTTAATTGCCACCAAAGCCACGTCATTGCCCTGAGGCTGTGAGAGTGGACGGGTGACAGGTAATAACCGGAGGTACACCCCACCCACGTGGTCTGCAGACTCGCCCAGCCCCCACGTGTGTGACAGAGTTGGGAGAACCTGAAGCTGTCACTGCAGAAGCTTCTGACCCCGACCCCGACCCTGACTCCACCCCAGAGAGCAAATCCACAGGAAAATCGCAGGACTCTGCCACTTAGAAAGGCCTGGAAGCAGGGGGCTGATGCTATTGTACGTGTGGGCCCCTGCGATAGGAGCTGTGTCCGGAGGCGCTGTCATCAGCACCTCATTAGCACCTCTGTCACAAGCACCCCCTTTGCTGCCAGGGATGACATGCCTTTTCTCTTAGAGCAGATGAACGTGGCCTTGGGTTGACCTCGCATGGCCATGGATCTGGCAAAGGTTCCTTTCCAGCCCATCGGGAGGGAGGACCCGCTGCAGCTTTCCTTCATGTGGGACGGACAACGGTACACATCGAGTCTGACCAGGGCTGGGCTGACTTGCCGGCTCCCAGGCATAACGGTGCGGAGGGACCAAGACGTCCTCCAGACAGATGGCATCGTGTTCATCAGACCAGGGGCACAGAAGTGGCCTGAAGGCCTTGGCAGAGCCCGTGTACAGTGGATCAGAGGAGAGTCGATGTCCCTCGGTAGCAGTCAAACACAGAGGCCAGTAGTGCAGACATGCTGGGACACCCCTCAATAGAAACAGGGAGTCATTGTCGCTCGCACCGCTACCATGAAGAGCCATTCTGGAGACGGCACAGCCCACAGCCAGGAGCGGTCCAGTGTAGACACAGGCCACTGTGAAGCTGCCCGCTTAGACTGACGCCAGAGGAAAAGGGGCTCCGTGACGGGTCCGGGCTGTGGTGGCAGGAGCCCGCCACCGGGGCACGCCCGCGGCG